TGAACAAACACTCTTTTGAACATCGGGTTGGATTTCAGGTTTTGTTTCCCACGGAGCACTGCCACCTTTTCTCTCACCGAAGCAAAAGCCACTTTCACCACACCGGGGCCCGGACCTCGCAATCTCTGCATTGCCACTGGCGTCAGGATTTGCTCACAAGCACAGCCATCTTCCAACACTTCCTTTACTTTTTGGGCTAAATCTTCGTCTTCATTATATGGTAAACCCATGATGACGATCGTCACATCAGGGTCGTATTTGTTTGGAGCGCTGGAGTTATTTGAATTAATTTTCTCCTCCAGCTGATCCAAACGCGACTTAAGTGCGCCGATTTCCAAATCAATGTTGTCTTGTATTTCTTTAACACACTTCTGAAGTTCAACTTTCAGGATCTTCCCCAGCGACACGTAGAGCCCATCTACCTTGCTGTTTAGCTGTTTTTCAATATTATCTACTTTCACCTGGATCACTTTCATCTCTTTTAGGAGCAGGTTAGTCTCCTCCTCGTCCTTATCCTGCACTCGGTTGCGCGTTTGTTTCACTTTTTCAGCCATCTCAGATACAGTTTTAAAGTGTTATCTTCCTTAGATGGTGTAGTGTATCTCAAATAAATCACTGGTTCGTTTGCAAAATAATTCGTTTTTAACGCAGAAAGCCTCGAATAAACAGAAAATGTTTGTCAGAGACACATGCGCCACGTCTGGCCGGAAGTCGTCATGATGCAAGTTTTTTTCCATATATATATCATCAATATAGTGATAACGTCCATTTGACCAAAACCAAAACATTATAGCTTTATATAATTACTTCTAAGTATTCATTACATATATTCTGTGAGTCTGGACAGACATGGATGTAAACTGCAACTTGACTGGTTGGTGGAGGCAAACAACCAGGGTGGTAATTCTTGTTTTTTTTTAAGATTTGTTAAGGTCAAAGAAGGTTACAGTTTGGCCCTGCACCATTTCAAAGTGGTTGTCCCCTACTGTGAGGCCACAGTGCAAATATGTGTATGATCACAGTAAGAAATGCCACAGTGTGGCTGGGACGTGCTGTAGTCAGCTGACAGGCAATATATCACATGAAGTTATAATGCTCTAATCTTGTATTAACACTCAGTTTAAACGTGCATTTTGTGGATTTTGCAAGATTTTTAAAGAAATGGTTATACATTCTTCTGTCACTGTATGATGTGCATTAAATGGTGCGTTGGGTGGAGTAGGAGCACATTGATGAACTTTGACCCGAAAAGCGCTGACCATTGTGGGTGCAGCCAATCACTGTTGAGCACTGCTTAAACTGGAAATTTATTGAAAACATCTGTGATAACACAAATTTTTATAATAAGAAAGAAAGAAGATATTCACTGTGTGACCATGGCAACCACAGAGAGGATAAGGCTACAGGAGCAGAGTTTACTGAATTAATCATCTCTTCACCAGAAGAGAACAGACAGATCAATGAATAGAAACGGTACTGGAGCTCAGCTTCAATGTCTGAAGTACTGGGGTACTAGCACTGGCAACTTTTCTTTTCCTCAACACTAACCCTAAACACAGCATAACTCTAATTATTTTAGTGTTTTTAACAACATTTTCAGTGCTGTTTTCCTGAAAGGAGTACCTCACCAGCATTGCTGTATACAGGGTTTTAGAAATACTGAGGTCGAGAAACTGAACTTGCAAGGAGGGGTTTAGGGGTGCGCGTCAAACCATCAAAGCCCTTGGAAATATACTAATGATGATGATCCGGACCTCAGTGAGATCAGTGGTGGTGGTACCCAATAAGAAGTAAGGGTGCTGGTTCTCAATATCGGTTATCAGTTTCCTTGAAAGCTATTAATTGGTGTCTGTATGGGCCCTGACAAACAATATCTGTTGATCCCGACTGGGTTGTCCTCATTGCACTTGATTAGGACATGCTAAAAAGTGAAACAAACAAATTCCAATTCTGATCATCTGTATCTGCTTAACTCTGCCACATCCTCCCGAAAGCAGACCAGGAGGCCCAGTCAGTGTTTTCACAGACAAATGTCAGCAGAGCGCCACGCACGGCTTCAGGCCCATATAATTAGCAATATCAGAGAGTGCACACCATATACTTAAGCAGACCAGTGACGAGACAGGAATAGCCCTTCCAAGTGCACTTTTATGAGTAAATAAGGGTTTGAGGGAAGTGAAACATCACGGTACAGCCCTGCTTTGACTGGGCCGACCGTGCCACACCCGAACCCACTGGAATCCATTAACAGAAGAGGGGGAGCATTATCTGCCCCTGGGGTAGAAGTGACACCACCAACTGGGAAATAATTGCCCTGCATTTTGGCAGTGCTTTGCAAGAATGTGGATGATTCAATATATGAACCGGACTTAATGAATTGAACTGTGCTGTCAAAAATGGATGTACTATAGAGATGTGTGTGGTTTAGCCTTAAAATATCAGGAAAACAAGTTCATATTTGCTCCTCTTGCCTGCTCTAAATGATGGGATAGTACTTTTCATTTTCAAATCAAGCTTGAGTTGGTGGTTGGTCTGATATACAGTGGCAGGCTCAGGTTGGTCGAGGGGGCAGGGGCCTAAACAATTAAAAGAGTACCAGCGTGCAGAAAGTTGTGATGTATTTATGGTGAAACAGCCTAGTCATGGTTAGGATTAGGACCATAGAGGGCACTTTATCATATTTTATCTACCATAGGGGCATCCAAGAGAGTCGCTCAAATCCTCACGCTGCCCATTTTTCCTGCTTCTAAGACATCAACTTTGTGTCATGATCCGCTCCTGGC